TATTTAGCCTATACTGCTGAACGCAGAATATTCATTTTGGACGAATAATGGAAGAAGCGTCTGCTGAAGACAAAACTTAGTTCGTTTACATCTTTCTTTCTGCCCCCACCCCTACCTGGGCATTTTTGGTTTATTCGATTAACAAAACAATAATGAAGATAAACAAATTTGTGAAGGGTCCGATTAAAAGATAAATTATTTTGTGAAGGGTCCGTTTTTATGAAAAGATACTTTGTGAAGGACCCAAATTTCTTCTAAACAGACCCTTGCTAACAATGACCTTTTTTGATTATTATTAAACTTTAATGTTGTTTTAATAATATCATTATCCAGCATTAAAAATGTTTTATAAGTAAGCAGAATATATCTTTTATTTAAAATTAGCATTTACCACATTAGTAAAGCATTTATATCATTGCTCATTAAAAGCGGAGCTCGAAAGTAATGGTGGCTTGAGAACACTAGAATTCAATCCGAACTATAAAAATATTTATCACATGTCTTTTGGAGCAACAATCAGTTTAAAGGGATTGTATGCTGTTATGATTTTATGTTTCGATCTCTATTTTTGTCACAAAATACTACATTTCATCGTTATTGTGACATTTCACATTCTGTGTAACGTAATTTTTCCTCTAAATCCACTTTAATAACTTATAAATAATCTAATAAAGACAAGTAAACAAACCAGTGAAAACATGTACTAGTAATATATTTTAGCTAATGAACCTACAGGCCAGTGCCCTTGGTTTTTGTTATTTTGACCGGTTGATTCTTTGTATTCTGAGTCATTGGAGAAAAAAAATATCTTTAAATAAAATATTAAAGCTGCAACTTTTCATTTTCCACCACATATGAAGGTATAATCACTATTTCTATTACATATACATAATACATTAAGATTTTGTAAATATTTTTGTATGAGCTCTTTCAATATTGGATAATAATGCAATAATAAAGTTTAAAAAATTTTCTGCCTTATGCTAAAGTTCATTATTGATTCTTAAATCGTTCGCAACTTTATTTATTTCTATATACATTTATTTATTTTTCTAATTTAGATTGCTCACCTGTATTAACATTTCATCAATTCAGGCATTTATAAGGCAGATTCGTTGGCCACTTTTTCAGAGGCACCATATTAGGTGGGCCAACATTGCTCCCACAGTAAGGACAGATAGTACAGTGAATGAAAGAACATCCATGCCTTGCCCGGGATTCAAACCCAGAACCTTCCTTTTGCAATAGACCAGTTTCCAGACCCCTACACAGTCCGGTCGGCTATTTTTATAAGCAAAATTTTAACTTTTTTTTTTGCTGAAGATGGCTGTGTAGATAAGAATAGTTTATACTTATCTTGTAAAAAGAAAAAAAAATTATTAGTTTACTTCTCTAATTTCATCCGCATGCAAATTTTGAGAAAATTGCTTTTATAAAACTTCAATATGTTCTTTTAAGATGATCAAAGATGTTTTTCACCTTCTTGATATTATCTAGGTTTATAAAAACACAAATTTTATTGAAGTATTTAATTTAAACTGGGAGGCTTTGCCCCCTGCTGACCAAATCTTGGAACTACTTTAGCACTTCTCTTGCTTTCCTCTCACACTGAAAACATTCCTTCTGTCTAGCTCTGTACACTTTTTAGAGACTTAGAATAAATAGTGCATAAAACTTTTCTCAGTACAAAATTCTAAATAAATACATTTAAATATAAATTTGAAATTGGCAACAGTTTACGGATTTTTCTTAATGACACAATTCTAAATTTCCGTATTCAGAAGCACACAACAGCTTTAAGTCTTTTATTCTATCACAAAATGTATAAGGACCAAAGAAAATAGTGAGAAAACTAAATATAGTCTTAAAAAAGGTTAGAATTAAAATAAGATTTGGTAACTGAAATAAAACTTTACGTTGAGTTCAAAGTTAAACATTTCTTTTTTTCTGAGACATTTCTTAACCTCTAAATTTTATTTACAGACACATTTCTAATTTTCAGTGTTCAGATACACAACAGCTTTAAGTTCTCAGAATAGCATGTTGTCCTCAGAATAGCAAGTTCTACAATGTAAAAAACCACAAATAAAAAATGAAAAAGGGTCACAGTATTAAAGTAGGCAAAAATTAAGACAGTATTTTACTGTTGAAACAACATTTTAAGTCAATGAGCCATGCCATCAACCAAGGCAACATAGAAGTTGGCTATTTTAAAGTTTTGAAAGAATTTCTTTAAAAACACAATTGTTAAAATGTACATTTGGCGACACAATGTAGATAGAATTGAAGGATTTTACTGTTAATATACCAACACATAATTGATCATGGCTAAACACTGGTTTAATTAAATCCAAACAAATTTTATCAAAGTTTTGTTTCTAGGGTTTATTTATAGTTATTGAAAAAGCTATTCTAACTGGAAATTGTTTACACTTAAATTTGAAAGGCATACTAATATCAAATGAAATGAGAGGAATTCAAGGAATAAGATAATGCCATCATCGCAATTTTTTTTTGCCCCAATATTTTTTTCAATTTAATTATTGTTAGCCTCTTTCCATTGCATAGCAAAATTTAAATGGAAGAAAATAAAACTTAGCTTTCAACAAAACTTAATTTAACTTGAAACAAAACAAAATTTAATTAAAATATGGAATAATGAAACAGGATTTAACTGCTTTGCTTTATGCTTAGGCCTGTAGGTGATTCATTTATAAGATTTAAATTAATCATAAATTAAAAGAATATTTGTTTGTTTTTTCAAGCAACTTTTGTTGAGTTTAATTAATAAAAGTGCAAAGGGGAAATTTTCGTATTGTGATTTGTCACGCCAACTCTGATTGCCAAGATGCCAAATAGATTTCAAACTCGCAATTTATTTTAAAAGAGAAACATAAGATGTTTGCCCGGAGGTTGGCTACGAGTTATACCTTTCGAATTGGTCCCTTTCTGCGATTTTTGTTAATTTCTCATGGACCACTGATTAGAAGTTACCGCAGATCGCAACACTGAAATCTCCCTGATGTAAATACGGACATATATAACTCTAAATTTTGTTAGTTCTAAAAAAAATTTGTTATTCAATATGTTTTCCATTCAACTTCAACCTAAAAATAAATCTCTGCAGGTAATTTGTTTTCATAATGCCAATGAATGAAAAGAAATTTGATGAATTTTACAACCACATATGCATATAAGTGTTTTATAAAATATAGTCAGAAAGCTTTGGACATCACACAGAGAAATAATGATTCTTACTACCACCTTCTCTTCTTTAGAATCAGAAATGATTCTTTTAATAAAATTCCCTAACCTTAATGTCATACATAAATAAAGTTTGTATTTGTTAATATCAAGTGAAGAATTAAGGAGAAAAATTACTTTCACCTTTGGTTACAACACAGCACACATTCGCAAATGATTTAAGCTCTGGTGTTTTTATTTTTAAATTAATTCATTTTTTCAAATTAAGAAAAAAGGAAGAATTGAACTAAAAAGCTAGTTAATAACTTTTAAAAGCATTACTATAAATCAGGGGTGATTGTGAGCCCAACTTGAAAATCTTAAAAACTTATTGAGTTAGTCATTAATGATGCTTTTCAAAACAATTATGTCTTTATAAATTTAAATCATTGATGTTTTCAAAACATGAAATTCTAAATAAATTATATGCTGTGTAATTTAAATGAAAAATTAAGAATAAGTTTACTTTTAACTCTAATCACATCTATTATTCAATCAGAAAAAATATTTACAAATGAAAGAGATGCGAAGTATAGATTCTAGTTCTAATATTCTTAAATTTTTTTTTATTTTAACAAGATTTTTTTATACATAAATGTAATTGATGATTTCTTGACACTTTTGGACCTTGGATTTCTGGAAACTTCTGGATCACCATTAGGGAAAAATTCGGAGCACAACCATCGATGATAAATGTAAGAGTAGCTGGGGGCTTCCAAGAAAGTGGAAGTTAGGAATTGAAACATTACATTATTTAAAGCCCGGACTGGAAAGTACTTTCTTACAGTTTCAAAGGTACTTTCTACAGGTATTTATATAGAAAGAATTTTTTTTTTCTGGACACTGATAACTGAGCTTTGCTGCATAAAAGTCAGAATCTACCAAGTTACGGATTCTACTTTGACGACAAGCCTTATTCTTTTTAATTAAAAAAAAAACTACCAAAAATTATGATTAATTTTCTGAAAATCATTTAAAGAAAATTGTTTTTGAAACATTTACACTCAAATTAAACACTCAAATTAAAGAGTCGGTACATTACAACAGGTGGACGTTACTTTGAACAGGATATGTAACCAACATATTTTCAGGAGTTACTAAATTAGTTAAGGAAATTATTAGCTTGTATACAAAACTCTGGTACATTGTAGAATAACTATATGGGAGATTTCCGTATCGTGATCTGTGGAAGAATAACCTTCAAGTCTTGGCAACTTCCGGGCAGTGGCCCACGAGAAAGTAAAAAAAATAAATAAATAAATAAAAAATAATCACAGGAAGTGACCAACTTGAAATGTATAACTCATAGTCACCCGAGGGCAAACATCTACATGTTTTCTTTAAAAAAATTTGAGAGTTTAAAATCTATTTGGCACCTTGGCAATTAAAGTTGGCGCAACAGATCACGATATGGAAATATCCCCCATTTATACCTGGAGATAATATATTTTAATACAGAAGATTATTTATAACCTAATAAAATATTAATAAAAGTTTTCAAATAGAATAATAGGGAATATAAAATCTTATTATGATGTAAAATCAAGTAAAAAAAATAAAGAATTTAGTATCAATTAAGCATCAAAATCTCTAAAGCAAGTATTAGCAGAACAAGGTGAGATGTAAACTTGAAACTACTGAAGACATATTTTTAAAGGAAAGAATAAAAGCTTACTGTCACAAATAAAGTAAGACAGTTAGCGACGATGTTTATGAGAAATAAAAGACAAATTAAGAATTCGAAAAAATTTACTTACGTATTGTCCTTCGTTTACTAAGTTTGGAGAAGGCTGTATCGGACTTTTAACATTTTGTTCCGCAGAGACAAAAATGTCCTGAGAGTGCGTGTTTCCTGTGGATTCTGAAGAAGGAAAAACAATATCGTCAATTTCATCGTCATCATCCGACTCCATACCGGCAGCAACAGCAATTCTTTTCATCCTGTAATGTCTAGCTTTTCTAAATAATAAAAATTATTCTATCTAAAACTAAGCCCGATTTTTGCACATATAGAGAGATTACTTCAAAATATTAAAAAAGCAGGATGCAAATTTATGTCAAGAAATGTGTAAGCGAAGAAAAATTATCAAGAACTCAATTTCAGAGCTAAAAAGTATTTAAATAGTAGCAAACAATCCCGCATGAAAGCAGATTCGTATTTATTTGTTTATAAATTACTTTTTTTGCAGTTACAGTTAAAATGTCTTTCGAAACTACAGTAATTTAAACAATGGTTCGTAAGTTCTACTCTAGGGTGCGCTGCAAACTCCTTGCGACTAGGTTCTATTCATTGGCTCTTTCAAGCTCCAATCAAAACGTTCTCGTACGTCAAAGCATGTTGCGCTCTCTAGGTTAAAATTGTTCATACAGATTAATATTTCTGGAAACTTTAAAATGCTAGAAACAAGCAGCCCAAAGCGAACTAAATCCAAATAAACAATAAATGATTTTAAATTTTATTTGAACCATAATAATACTTTTTTCAGTATTTATTTTTATGTAATTCTTCAGCCAGCAATTTTTTACAATGTCAAGTATTCAAGTGACACCATTGGGTATGTGACTATTTCTTAATTTCACTCTTAATATTCGACTAATATTACAATTCAAAACTTGTTTTATGTGTGAATAATTTGCTATATGTTTTTAAGTTAAGCTATTTTCTCACTGAATATTATTTTTAACGTTTTTTCTTCTTAGAAACTAAATTAGTGATTCTCGTTTTCTGAGAATTTCTTCTAAAGTGTTCTATAATCTATTGTTATACCTAAATTTTATAGGCATTATTCTAGCCTCAGGAGTTAAAAAAAGAATTTGTGAAATTATTGGTTGCTGGTTTGTAGCCAGGCTATAAAAACCTGGTATTTTTTTGGGGGGTTTAAACTCTTAGATAAGACCTAAAATTAAAAAAACCCGGCTTTTATTAGAACCAATACTTTTCAAAAACTTATATTTTAAAAGGGGTATAAGATTGTTAATTATAGCACCGAAGTGATTGCATGTAAGAACAATGTAGAGCTGCTGCTTTTTAAGCAAAAGATATTAAATATTTTGAACACATTATTTACAGTTTTATGCAAAATGCTTTTTGTACAAAAGATTTAGTTGATATTTCGAAAAATAATTATTCTGAAGCATTTAAAGCACCACTAGGATGAATCAAAACATGATTGAGCAATTATGCTACTAAATAATAATTTTTTTAAAAACCCATTTATAAAATAAATGCCTTCAAGAAAAAGTTAAAAATAAGTTTCAACTTAGTAAGCATTCAAACAGGAAAAAAAAATCATTAAAAGTAAAATTAATTTGTACAGTAAAAATTTAAGCTAGTACAAATATAATTTTATTTTTGATGTTATAAAAAAATTACAGCCCTCTCTTAGTTTAATAAAATTTTACTTATTTTTAATCTTTCTTTAAAATTGAAACTTGATACAGTGTTTTTACTACAGCGCGAGAATCTCGCATATTTTTTTATAGTCTCGCATTAAAAAATTATTACCGCGAGAAATTTGTGCATTCTATAAACCAATTTCAAAATTCGCGAATTTCTCGAATTTCGGAAAAAGCTTCGCATTACGCCATTTAGAATAAAATCCGTTTCACTTTTCTTCCTGGATCTCTCATTATTTTCAACATCTGCCCCGTTATCTAGCTTCCCTATTTACCAGTATTGTTCAGAACCTTTAAGAGCAACCGAACACCATCCTTCCGAACCACGGAACCTCTTTCAGAACGCATTTCTCTGCAACCACATGTTTACCGTAGGTATGGTTTCTTCATGTAAGACGTTCAAATTTTTTGCTTGTTAATGTAAGATGGACAAATACCTTGTAAAGCCAATATCTTCTACTCCGGAACAAACGGACAATTGAAAATGAAACTAATGTGGGTAGAAATGATCAAAACGAAACAAATACTCATTTGAGCAACTATATGAGAATAATTGATGTAGAACATTTTCCATATGATGATGCAGCAAAAATATTCAGTGCTTTAAAAATTAGAAGATGTTAAAAATGCATTATAATTAAAGAAATGATTTTTTTTTTCAAGTCTCTTTGTGTTTTTTTTTTTTTAAATTTTTGAAATCTCACTTAACTTTTTGAAATCTCATCCTGTTTTTGGGAAAGGGTGAGAAATTCTCACCCATTTTTTTTCTGAGATGAAAACACTGCTTGATAATACACACAAAAAATGCTATTAAATTATTTATAAAAGACATAGGATGAAGTTTTATTATTAATATTTTTTTATGTCCAAACTTCATTGTATATTTCATCACTATTGAAATTTCATCTTTCTCTGTTTTTGTTATATTTTTTTAAAAGGAGTAGCATTTTCAACCTTCTCAGAAAAGGCTAGTTTTTTTGCAACCTTGACCACTGGATATTTAATTTTTTTTAACAGTTAAAGTTTTGAAAGAAAAAGCAAAAAGCACTTGCGTTTAAAAGAACATAACAGTATTTTATGTTAAAATATAGTTAGGAATTTTGTTTCAAAAGGTAATATCTACAATGAATTTAGAGTAATTTTGAATAGGTAGTGAAATGTTTTATCCTGTATCAAACCATGTGGCAATGATGCATCACAATTGTCAATTTGGCAGCTGAATTTTAACTGTTCTGCATTCAGTTACCAGATATTTCATTTTTAAGCAGTTAGATCTTTGGAGAAAATTCTTTTAGTTTCTTATAAGTGTAGTGCTTAATTACAATAAACTTAATCTGGAATTGTAAAATATTTCATTGCATGCCCAACTTTCTGAAAACTGTGTGCCTATTTGGCCATTAAATATTATTATTTTGTATTCTGTCAGCAGATATTAATTTTTTTTAACAAGTACTTATTTCTTGAAAAAATAGAGGAAGAAAAAACTTAAATAAATGCAATGAATTTAAATTAATCTTGAATATTATGGTGAAATAAATTATCATATACCAAACTATATAAAAATGAATTATTTAATTTCAATAAGTGTAAGTTGAAGAATGTTGAGCTAATATGAAACACGTTATTATTAAGTTAATATTATAATTCTGTTTAGTTTTCTGAATTGGAACAAATGCATCTCTTAGATAATTTGAGACAATATTTAATATTTTCTTTCAAACAAGATAAAACCTTTTGTGCGAAACATTTTTAAATGTGTTGAACTAAAATAAAATTTATTTAGCATTCATATTAGAAATTGTGGACTTTATGTAGATGTCTATGTAGTATTCTTAAATCAGTTTTCTTTTTTCAATAATATTTAAGTTGTTTCATATTTTGTTATTAAATTTATAATTTAAATGATTTCATTTTATAATATACACTCTGAGAAATTAAAGATATAATTATTAGGCACATTCAACTGTCTTGAAAAGTAGGATAAACTGTTTATTATCCAAAATTTTGTCTTTCACTTATTCATTTTTATGATTATAATTTTAAGATAACTTGTTTTGGTGTTTTATTATTTTAAATCTTTGTTTTATATGCTTATAATTTTTTTTCCAATAATATTTACAGGTGCTGGGCAAGGTACGAGAATGCTTCTGTAATCATTTGACTTTTATTGGTTTAAAAACCACCAACATTGCATAAGTATCAAAATTGCATTGATTTCTTTTCGTAAACATTAGTTTCATTTCGTAGAAATATTTGCTAATTTTTTTTATTATATTTAAGATGTAAAAAAGTTAAAAAAAAGATAAAAAAAGTCATAACTTTTTTCCTAATTAATTTCTCTGAAATTCTGACAGAACTTAAAAATTATAATTTTAAAATTCGAAAACATAGAAGTACAACTTAATTTAAGTTGTCAAAAGATTTCAATTTTCAGTTCATAAAATTTTGTTTTATAAAGCAGTTCAAAACTTAAAGATTTTATTGAAAAATTGAAAATGTTTGTAATTTATAGATTTAAAAAAAAAAACTAATTTTTCCTCTTAGAAAGTTTAAATTGATCTATAGTTGAATGTCATTAAAGAGAGACAATGTATGCAAAACTTCAAATGATTTTTAAATCTAAAATATTGTATATACCTATACTTTAATTTTTAAGAATAATTTATATTGTTCTAATTATACAAGAATAATTAGGTTTTATCATTTTGACAGGAAAACTAAATTGGTTGCCACAGGATGCGTAGCATTTGTAGAAAGTACTTAAAGGTGCTCTTTTTGGGGGATTTCGTTTTTAAAAGCTTTTAAAGGTGCTTCTTTCAGCTGGCGTTTTTAAAAAGTGCTTTTTTTTCACGAATAATTTTTTTTCTTCCTTCAGTGATATCTGGCGGATCCCCTGCATTTCACGAAAAATGGGGTGTTTGCTATGTAATCATTCTCACGGACTTCATGTCACCCCCACGTTATGACTTGCGCATACGCGCACACACGAAACTGAAACCCGAGTGCTCCAATTAGGATAGAGTCAGATCCTTATTAAATGTTTTTCTTTTTAATTTATTTTAATTTTATTCTTGTTTATTTTGTTTTACTTCTAACACTTTTTTGATGTAGGGGGTAAGGGTACTTTTGTTCTGAGTTCAGAGTCAAGTTGAATTCACTCGGTGGTGTGGGAAAGTACTGATTGTTTCGATTTACATCCGTTTCTTTTTGGGTTTTTTTTAATGCTAAAACTGTTCATAAAAAGTTTTTGTTTTTCAATAATATCATTGATTCAATATGAATATTTTGAGTGCTTGAAAATTTTTGTAAAGTGCTTGAAAAGTTTTTAAAAAGTGCTTATTTTTGATTCAAAGATTTGGCTACGCACCCTGTGCCATTCAAGAGGGCCAACATTCTTTTTTTATGTGGCCGCTCTTCCATAAAAAAGTTTTACAACTTAACACAAGTATAAATTTGTATATAAATAAATGGAAAAACATAGGTACATTGAAATATATCAAAATCTGTTCTAATGCAAATAGTCTAAAAAATTAAATTCTCATCTAGGTTGTGTTTTATTGAGTTGGAATTTCAATAATTTTACTCACTTAGAAGTTGTTTTTTTTAATATGTTTTATTTATATTTCATATATTTCTGTTTAAATATTCTACTAAAAGGTTAGTTTGATGTTCTTTCTATCCTTTTATGTACATTTTATAATGTGAATTTTTTTTTTTTATTACTGAAAATTTCTTTTTTATCATTATGAATAATTTCTTTAAACAATTTCATAGTTATATATTTTTTTATTTGTTCTAATGAATATGAATTTTGAAAAAATTAAAAATTGGTTTTGTTAATCTTAATAATTATGTGAAAAATTGTGCTGTACCATTTATGATTTTTAATTTTTATGATTATTTTAAGTGAGTTTTTATGTTCATGTTTTTTTTTCATTGTTGCAGATGTAGGAAGAAGCTGTATCCTACTCACAATTGGTGGCAAAAATATTATGTTAGACTGTGGAATGCATATGGGTTTTAATGATGATGTAAGAATATCATTGTACTTTTCTATATTTCCTTGAAGTTATCAGTTTATACTTTTTTTCTTGTGCTATTTTTAGCCTTTTAATGTGGTTTTTAGTTAATTTTGGAAATATTTTCGATTACTTTAACTGGGTGTAATTTTAATTGTATAAAATAAAATACCTAATCTATGTATTATTACCCTGTACATTTATTATAGTTTTCAGGGAATTTTAGTTTTTCCATTTCTATTTTTTTAACAGTTAAAATTATTGGGTATGAGGGAATTTTTGTCTAAGCTACCAATACCCAAGAAACTTTTTATTATTATTATTTTTTAAAATTATTCATCAGTGTACTCCCGAAGTGTTTTCAGTAGAGCAGTCCACTCTGCTTGAACTTTTTGCTTTTTTTTTTGTTGTAAAAATAAGCCGCCATCCCTAAAAAAATAACCGCTTTTTATTCACATTCCATTTGTGACATCGGGTCCCGAGTTGCAATTTGTACTCTTTCCCTCTTTGGATAGAGCTGCGTTAAAATTCTTAGCCAGCCATACGCCCTTGCATCTTTCATTAGCATGTACAAGTTCGTCAGTGTTTCGGTTTGAGTTGTAACTTGCTTCTTTCCTGCCTCTTTATAAATAAAAATCTGGCTGTAAATTTAAGTTGGGTAAAAACAGGCTTTTTAAGAACTTTAAATTGTAGGCAGAATTAAGTGAGAGTATAAATACAGAGACATTACTGTGATGAGGACATTCACATTGACACCTCTATCGAGCACAAAAATTCCATATTTATACTTCAATATTTTCTCTCCACGTTTTCCTCACCTACCCCAGTCCTGGAATTTCATGATGGTTGTTTGGGATTACCTACTACTTTGATGCCTGGAGTCTTTATGGAAATTGAAAACAAGTATCTTTTTTCTGAGTCGAATTCTTTCTGAAAAGTACAGGATACTGCAAATTTTGCCAATCATGTGATTCAACAAAGTTTCCAGAAGAAGGGTTCGTTATTCATTCTGACTAGCCTAAAAGACATCATGATGTTTCTGTCCTACTTTCCTGCTTGCATGAGTGTTCGATCACTGACAGATTTTCTGCTATGATTAAATAAAAATCAGTTTTCGTCTCAGACTTTCTAGCCTTTTTATTGAATTCAGGTTGTATTATTTTTCTAGTTTTTAGTAATGAGTAAGGTTTTTTATTGTATTCATTGTTTTTGCTCCTCCAAAGTCAATGTACCCACCACTAGAATTTTTACTAACACGGACCATTCCATTCCAATTTTTACCGGTCGTTAGAACAAAACCAACCTTCTCTTTTTACAGGAATCAATGAAATATTTTTATGAATCATAAATATTACACTAACATAACTGTTTCAACTCTTCCTATCTTCCACATTATTTAAGACACTTTAAATATGGAATAATTTATGACATCCACAATTACAATTAATTAATATTAATTTTTAAAATAATTATCCTTTTTTTTTTTACTCATGACATACCATTTAAAAAAATGAATTCACTGTTTACACCTTGGTAAAATTATTTGTGTTTATAGGTTTAATTCTGATTACTATTACAAATATTTAATTTGTTCATAGTATTCTCAACTGGTTACATTTTTATAAGTTTCTCTCTTTGTGGGAGGATGGGGGGGGGTAAGGGCATTTTAAAATTATTTTTAAAATTAATTCTTTTTTTTTTAATTGCACCTTTGAGTGTTTGTTGTCTCATAATTTTCAGATTAAATTATTGAAAAACCCTTCAAGTTGTTTATCAATTAATCATTTTTTTACTTTACTTTTTTTTGAAAAAATCTTGGCACAGTCATTAAATTTAGGATGTATTTAATTATTTTTTATAAACGACAAATTCTCTCTTATTTTGATAATGAGTGAGTATTTTTTGATTATAGTATTGTGTGAGGAGGCATCCTACCTTTTATTCTTAGAGAGAACTCTGTATTCATACTTATATTTAATAGCTTTTTCTTATTGCAATTACTATAATTTTAAAACTATTGAAATTGTTGAATTATTAATAATTAATTTTTTGATTATATTAAATTTGATTTTACAAAATATGTTGCTGGAAGTAATGAAGCTTTATTAGTTTAATTTATATTAGTATTATTATTATTATTTTAATTTTATATGTAACTTCCTTACTATATTAATTTTTTATTTTCTCTTTTTTCAAGATAGAAACAAGCAATTAGAAATAACAACAAAGTTTAAATCATTATAGTTTATATTTTACATATCTTCTTAAATAATATAGTTGTTAAATATATTGAGTTTGCTCGCGTGTTGTTTTTAAGATATTATAATTATAAAGATAGCTAATTGTAGTCATATTTTTAGTCACATTAATGTCATTAGTATATGTATGTTAATTTTCATATTGAATTAAGTGCATTGCTTTTAAGTAATGAGAAAAAGTTGTTTTACACTTCAAAATAATGTAAATTTTACTGTGGTATTAACAACCTTTGCTTAATTCATTAAGTGCTTTAATTGATAATGAAATCTTTCTCTTAATCAAACATTTTGTAAAAACATTTTTTTTTTCAGAGGCGTTTTCCAGATTTCTCATTTATTTCCCAAGACAACTTAAATCAACACTTATCTTGTGTTATAATAAGGTAAGTTCTTTGAAGTACTTTTTTGTTTAATAAGATAAAAAAAAGGAAGACAAGTTTTGAGATTTGATCCTGTTTTAACCTGCAAGTTATTTTAATTCTTTTCTTTGAATATTGTTATTCTGTTCATCAAAGTTTAACTGTTGGGTTCAACTATTCTACTAAATTAAGTTGGAATTAAAATTAAATTAAAAGTGATGTTGTAAAGATATACAGATTTATTATTTTGAATTTTAATAAAACCTGCTTGATTTTTCCTGAACTTTAGAAAACTGTATATTTACACCAGTTTTTCTTTGTATTAAAAATGTCGTATGTTAAAAATAAAATGTATACTTTTCTACTTTTCCTTTATATATTTTCAAGAAATTATAATAGCATAAAAACAATATTATTTTGCATTTTATTTCTCTTTTTTAATCCTGAGTATAGAGAGTTGATGAACATGTAATATTTTGAATGATAAAAAGTATTGAAAGATGTTTCACTAACAAGAATTACAGCATTACTTGCGATTTCTAAAGTGATTTTATATATTTACTTTTTTTCATGAATGAAGCTTAGAGCTATTTATTTTTACATTATGTGATTTGTATAATTAGGTAAGTAAGGTAGTCAAGAGTTTATTAACTGTAAAACATGACAAGATTTTTAACCTGGGTATACTTTTCAACATTAGTAATTTCACTGTAAAACATATCATTATTTCAAGTTTTAAAATTTGCTTTATTTTGATGCTTGTAACATTATAAAGATTTCAATCAAAGCAAAATCAAAAAAGGAAGAAAAGAAAAAAAAAAAACTATATTTTTCTGATGCTGCTGCTTTATTACTACATTAAGTTTAAGTCACTATATTTTCCATGTTGGCGGTAATGCAATTTTGAAAAGAAAAAAAATCACTTATCGTAATGTATTTTGAAGAATAAAAATAAAATGTTTATAAAAATAAAAATTTATAATAAATGTGCATACAATACTAAGTCCTATATCCGGACACCCGTTTTCTGGAAGTATAGTAGGGAACTGATTATCCAGAATGGTCGGGACCATCGCTATTCCGGATAACTGATTTTTCTGGTTTTCTGAATCGCTACAAAAAGCCGTTTTTTTTCTATTGTTAAACCCAACTAAAAAAAAAAAAAAGAAATTGGAAATAATCTTAAAAATAAGAAAAAACGATGAAGTAATACACTAATGATTATTTCCAAAATGATGGTAAGGTAAACATCTTTAAAAGAAGAAAGAAAAATCGTAAAATCTTACGAGGAAAAATTTTTTTTTTAAAAAAAAATGGCGAGAAAATTTATCGAATTTTGTTCCGGTTTTTTGGTTTTCCGGATAATGGGTTCTGTACCGTATCTATTTCAAGGGTACTTATAAAGTTTAATTTTTGTAACTCATGTCAGGTTTCCTCATCTGTCTAGAAAATTAATTATTGCCATTAGGACTAAAAGAATTTTCTAGTTATAAAATAATATTGAATATTTTTTTTCTCCTTTTAGCCATTTTCATTTAGACCACTGTGGAGCTTTACCATATATGACTGAAATGGTTGGGTATAATGGTCCCATTTATATGACAATGCCTACAAAAGCCATTTGTCCTATTTTGTTGGTAAGTCAATAATACAATCTACTTCATAATTTATAACATTAATGTATTAATCAATGATATACTGAGAACAAAACTTTGTTACACATTACTCTGTTTAAGTTATTTTGTCCCTTTTATGTACATGTATGGATTGTTAAGCTTTGATTGAAACAAAGATTGAAAAAAATATACATGGTTTAGTTGGTTTGGAAATGTATTCATTTTTAATTTAACAATAATATTATGCTGATTTTAATAAAAATGACTAATTCATTAAAAAAAAATATTTAAGACATTCATTTATTAAAGCATAATTCACGATCTCAGTATCTCTTAAGTAATCAATTTAAATGAGTTTTGTCATAAAATCCTGTTGTAAAATGATTAAAAATATGTTTACAGTTTTCCCAGCCACAAAACTTTTAGTTGAATTCAATAAGAAATTATGCTTGTTTTGAATATAATTTTACCTATTTGGCTAGTTAAGGTCTTTATTAATCACAAATCTTATTGCAATATTGATAATTTGTACTATGTTTTTTTTAACTAGGTATTTGTTTAAACTAGGCCCAAAAGTGGACTTCACATATTTTCTTTTAGAGTAAATTTCATGTACCATGAAGAAAGACCATTGTATCTTTTATTTTATTTTAAAACCATATGTTTTTGGTTTTTAAAAATTAAATGTGAGGAAATATTTGTTTGTCACTAATTATTAATTTTTTGAATTTATATTACGATTTTATCTTTTTTAATGAAACAAAAACTTTTCTTCATTTTGTTTTTTGTTCAAAAATTAACCTTTTATTTTTCACAATATTATTTTAAAACTGTGACATAATATGAATAAAAGAGTTTTGGACAGTTTAAGACTGTTGGTCAAAGGGGTTTTGGACAGGACAGTTTAAACCTTAGATTAATCCATTCTGTCCTAAACCTTGCCAACTCTGATAAAATGTAGAAGTACAAATTTAAAGTGTCAAAAGTCTTGACGTTTTGATTTTTTTTAAAAGATCATTTTGTTTGCCAAAAACATGTTCTATGCAAAGGTAGTATGACGGTTTATTAAAAATGTAAAGATATTTGTAATTCATGCATAATAAAAATTTTAGGAATTAAAAATAAAATTTCATTGCACCACTTCAAACCCTTCTTCTAAAAAAGGTTGTATGCATCTCTACTTTACAATAAAGTAGTTGTTACTTTGTCATTTTTAGTTTTTTAAAAGTTGATGCTTTGCATGTAGTTGTATATATTTTATCTTAGAAAATTAACATCTTAGCAAACTAATTTTATAGTTTTACTTTTATTTCTAGGAAGATTATAGAAGAATTACCGTTGACAAAAAGGGAGAAACAAATTTTTTCACTTCTACAATGGTCAAAGATTGTATGAAGAAAGTAACAACTGTTGGCTTGCATGAAACTGTACAGGTTATAAAAATTATTTATTTATTGTATTTTGCTCTATTTTATGTTACATGTGATTGTAACTTGTATTATTTGATAATTTCCTATCCATTTCTTTAGATAAATATTAATAAATTAAAAGTTATAATTCATTTATTATAAATATTTTTAAGAAACTATCACTGCTTAATTTTTCATGTACCAGCAAGTTTTTTATGTGTTGCTTTATTAAAAGTGCTTCATTAATATGTGTTGCTTTATTAAAAGTACATAATTAATACATTCAGAAAAGTACAATCATTAATATCATTAAGTTATATATTTTAAAAACTTCAATTTTTCTGTTTTGTTTGAAGACACTAATAAATGCATTTGTTTGTTTTTCTTTATATTGATTAATTAATAAGATAAGTCATAGTCTAGATATCTTATATTTCAGTTATTTAACTTGTTTACACATTTGAGTTAGCAAAAACTAAAATTTTTGCTACACAAAACACATTGTAAAGTACAAATAATATTATCATAATGTGTTGTGTAAGAGTCAAATATCTAAAATCTCATCACCATCAAAACAGAAAGGAAGATGGGAAAAGAAACAGTTTTCTGAAATGCATAGCTTTGTGTTTTTATTGTGAATAAAAACATTCAGTGGTAAGATGCCTGAATTGAAGATTACTGAATAAGATGTTATCTCAGTAGTAACAACCTCACTGTTATGGTTTACTTTTAATTAAGAATCACTATTAGAAACATAACAGTTAGAATCAAGGCAATTAGATATATAAATTTAATAGAACATTATAAACTTTAGTTTTTACAAAGTTAAATATGAAACTGCAAATTCCCTGGGGACATCGACCATTGGTACTCTTAACAGCAATAAGTTTATGTATTTTTCTTACTATGTTTATTTATTAATTCGAAATGTTTTTGGGGATGTATAATGTAATTAAAAATGAATTTTTTTTAAATTTAAATAAAATATTTTTTATGCAGGTTGATGATGACCTTGAAATCAAAGCTTATTATGCTGGACATGTGTTAGGTGCAGCAATGTTTTTGATAAAAGTTGGATCACAATCAGTAGTCTACACAGTAAGTCCTTTTTTCTCAATTATTGTCATTATAAAGACTTAATTGGATTATTGTTTCATACAATTATTTTGATTGAGCTTTTGTGTTTTTGAAATGGGAGAAAAGCTAGGTTTTAAGTATTAAGATTTTATTATTACAATTATTTTTGGAAGGGCAGTAATAAATTTATTTTATTCGCATTAATTTGCATTTCTACAACACAATAATTACCCATACTTGTCAGACGTATTTCAGTTTCTTTTTTATACAGTAAAGCCTAATAAGTTGACCTCTTATCTAGAACCAAATTCATCCTATGTTGAAATAGAGTACAAAACTTTTATAATTCATCCATCTCCCTATTTTCTTCTTCTTTTTTTTAAATGAATTTTTAAGTCTGGAATATTCAGTTTTTAGAATTTATAAAAAAAATTACCTTAAATAGTTCAAAAAATTCAATTAGTTGCCCTTTTAGTTAGTAATAAAAAAAATTAAATTCGATTGAAAAGGGTAGATTCGAGAAAATTGGCAGGAGGAATTATTGTTTTAATAAATAAATTTTGTAACACAAGAAAAAAAAAATTTAAATTGATGTAAGTTAGTATTTTTTTTGTGAATAATAAATGACTGATTACATTACTAGTGAAATATCTATATTTGTCATTTTAACTTATATGTAAGTTAACTATTAATTTTTATAATAAGTTGTAATTCATTTTGGTATTTAATTAAACTTTTTAAACTGTATGAGATAGTTGTTAATTAAAAATCTAGTCATAAATTTTAAAATAATATGGAAAATAAAGTAAATTTTTTTATTTTTACCTTGAATAGGAATTAATAGATAAACATAGGAATTTATACTATCTGAATCGACTAATATAGTTATGCACTGCAAGTAGTCAGCTTATGTAGTACTGTAAACTGTAATGCAGACAGATTTATTAAAAATTTAGCCGTCGATTTCTTTAAAAATTAAATTATATTTATTTCTTAAAGTATATGTGTATCTGTAAAACGTTTTGTTTTATCCAAATTTATGTTTTTACATTTCGACGCATGTTTTCTGTTCATGCATATCCTGAAATACATTATAGGTTTAAGCAAGTAGATTCGTGTATTCAGATTAATTTCTGTTTTAGGGAGATTTTAACACCACTCCAGATCGTCACTTGGGGCCTGCGTGGATTGATAAATGCAGGCCAGACCTGTTGATTACAGAGTCCACATATGCTACTACTATTAGAGACTCTAAACGTTGTAGAGAAAGAGATTTTTTGACCAAAGTACATGACTGTGTCGAAAAAGGTGGTAAAGTAAGTTTACACTTCCTATTTTCTTAATTATCTTCAGTGTTGTTGATGTTCATCGTTGAAATTTATCTTATTCTCACATTAATTAACCTGAAATTACAATAGCCCTTTGTTATATTGTGCCTTCCAAGAGTCTAAAATGAATCGAAGTTTTAAAGAGCATTAAACAATACCTGTTAGACTGAGCTTATAAACTGTTTTGTTTTCAATAAAAAACATTGGAGCCGTGGTGGCTCGGGGAATAGAGCATTTGCCTTCCAATGAGGAGAACCTGGTTCAAATCCCAGCAATGGCTGATCGATAGGAATTCCGCACCTGGCTCGCACTGCTGATGTAAAATATTCTTAGTGGTAGACGGATCATGGGTTAGAGTCCCCTTGAGGTCAGACTAACAGTGAGATATTTTTGTGGTTTTTCTCTCCATGTAATTTAAATGCAGGTTAGTTCCATCAAAAAGTCCTCCACAAAGGCAAATTTCTCCCAATACTTGATCCAGGAGTTCCCTTTTCTTCTGGATTGGGTCCAAAATTACATAACTACGGAGTTAAACATTAGTCAATGACGGTTATAAAATAAAATTAGGATATTTGCCTAAATCTTCATAACCAGGAAAGAGGTTAAATTGGTAAAAAAAAATTCATAACAAATTTTACATAAATTACATAAAAAAATTTTATTGTTCATTTGTGACTATCCAGGTATGCAAAGCTGTTTTTTTTTATACAGAATAAGATTGTTTAAGAGTAAGAATATTTTAGGTATAAACTTAAGTAAACTGTTAACTTTGCTGTATTCATCATCTTCGTTGGTACAGCAACCCACTTCGGTTTTTGGCCTTTTCTAGAACTATTAATACATTGTGCTCCTTGTTATTAGGTCTTGCCAGTTCCTGTTACGCTCAGGTTTCCTGATTCAGGGTATTCTGTGATTGTTTTAAAATCTGCATTAGTAAAGTTCAGCCATCAAAGTTCTACACATCCTCTACCACCATTTATATGTATATATATATAGTTTCATAAATACTTAAACTATTAAAATTGTGCTACTAGATTATTGAAAAAATCATCCCTTTTTATGGTTTGTTTGTGTGTGGTGTGTGGTTTTAAACTTGTATGATTTTTTTAAAAATCCATTTTACTCATAAAATTTTGAATGCATTTTATTATCTGTGCATAAATGTTAATTATTTTTCATTTAGGTTTTAATTCCAGTTTTTGCACTGGGTCGTGCTCAAGAGATGTGTATTCTTCTTGAAACTTACTGGGAGAGAATGAATCTTAAAATACCCATATATTTTGCTGTTGGTCTAACTGAAAAAGTGAATATATAGATTTAAAAATGTATGCACTATTGTTTTTAAAATGTAAAAAAATTCTTCACTTTAATATTATTCTTTTATCATTTAGGCTACCACTTTTTATAAGATGTTCATAACTTGGACCAACCAAAAAATCAAGAAAACATTTGTGCACCGTAATATGTTTGATTTCAAACATATCAAGGTAGTTAATTTAAACTAATTAAATATTTTGTCATTTTTCTTTCATTGAGTATATTTTAATTTTTTCATTGATTCAATCTAATTTTAGTATTTTTAAATTATATCAAGTGTAGCATTTTAAGTATTCATTTTTTTACAATAATATAGGATGTTTTTTTTTATTCAATGTAAATATCTCAATATATTAGGAGATTTGCTGTATAATAACTCCTCGTTTAATTTCACATAGTTCCAATTTTGAAATTTTACTAATAATTCTAAATTTTTTCTCCCTTCCTTATATTTCTCTTCTCTGGTGTGGAAGAAATAAGAGAAACTTTTACAGTTTTTGAAGTACAGTTTTATCCAAGGGTTAAAATTCTTTCTAAGAAGACAACAAAAGCAGTTTTTATTTTTAAAGGAATGGTAACTAGTTTCAGTAGCTTGGGAATTCTTTTTGCTGATTAATTTCTATTCACTGCAAATTTATTTCTAATGAGTCATTTCAATGCAATTGTAATACCTATGGTTCCAATATCTTTTTTATGCGTTCTTAACAAAGCTGTTTTAAAACTTTTAAATTGTCTTACATTTACTGGGGTTTTGGGACAATTTTATTCTTGCTTAAGAATTATGAGCTTTAAAAAATGAAATTGCTTGAAAAAATGTTATTAAGTTTCCTTTTGATGTTAAACAAATCATCTTTTTTTCGTGTCAAAGTAATTTTAATTTTAAACTAAGACCTTTAATATTATAAACTTTCAGAAATGCGATGAGTACCAAAGAGCTTTGTCAAACTTTTTCTACTCAAGAGTGCTTTGAACAAATAGCTTTGTTCTAGTTGCTACACTTGTAAATACTTGCATCATTCAGAATGAAATGAATTCTTGATTGAAAAATGATAGTTACACTAGGGTAAAATGATAAATACAAAGGTAGTTACATTTATGAAAGGCAAGTTTTAAAAACTTGCCTTTCATAAATGTAACTACCTTTGAATTTTTGTGACTTGAAAAAAAGATGTGAGATTTTAGGCCGGTAAAAATAATATCTCAAAACCGATGAAAGATAGCTGCCAGATTTTGGAATCTATAGACTTTAACTATTTTATTTTAACTTGTATTAAAGAATTTAAAAAATCATTTTAGATTACATTTTTAAACTTATTACTGCTTGTCTTACTTGTATCTTTTTATTTGTTTTTTTTAGTTAATAATTTGAATTGCAAAAATCTTTTTCAGCCCTTTGACCGTGCCTATATAGATAATCCTGGTCCTATGGTTGTTTTTGCAACTCCAGGAATGTTGCACTCTGGACTATCAGTTCAAATATTCAAAAAATGGGCACCAAATGAAAATAACATGGTTAGTGTTTTATTTATTTATTTATTTTTGTTTGTTTACAAACGTTATTCTCAATAATCATATATGTCAGCCTCATATGTTGTTAATCATATGTTAAAAATATATTTGTTTAAATCAAAATTGTTCATATTTTTTTATAGTTAATTATGCCAGGCTATTGTGTATCTGGAACAATTGGTCATAAAGTAATTAGCGGTGCCAAGAAAATTGAATTTGAAAATCGCCAGATTGTAAGTTAGTTATTAGGTCATTGATGTTAGTTTTAATAAATGTATGATCTGAAGTTCTGTTCATGATATGAATATTTTAAATAGGTAGAAGTTAAAATGTCTGTGCAGTATATGTCGTTCAGTGCACATGCTGATGCAAAGGGAATCATGCAACTAATTCAGCATTGTGAACCATCTAAAGTGTTGCTGGTGCACGGAGAAGCTTCAAAAATGGAGTTCCTGGCAAAGAAAATCACTCAAGAACTTGGTATAAAATTGTATCTAAATTCTAAAATACAAAAATATAATTTGACATTTTTTTGAAGCATATATAGAGGCATTTTTAAACAGTTTTGCAAACTGTCCTCCATATTGAGATGCTTTATTTAAAAGAATGATTAAGAAGATTAAGAAAAGTAGTTTCTTCATTGCTTTGATTGATAACAATGCTATTTAACAGCACGTAGTTTTATTTTGAGAGATAAATTCTTAGTGATCAGCTTTGCCAGATTTTGTTAATTTATCCTGATTCATTAAAAATTCTTCTGATTTTTGTATATTTTATGAAGTTTCCTAAAAATTAGCTATGTATGTAAGGAAAAAAAGCTATTTGAAATGTTTTTTTTTTAATTTTTTTTATTTTGCTTATTGTTTGCATAGGATTTTATTTTAATAAATCTAAGTACAAGTTAAAAACAATATGAAAGAATATCAGATTGAATTAATACTGTAAAATATTCTGTATTTCCAATCAAAATGACAATGAAATTCAATTGAAAATGAATTCAATTGAAAATGAAATGGAAAAAATTATGTGTGTAACATAAGAAATTTTACAACTGTTTTTAAACTTATTTGAATTTTCTTAAAGTTTGAGATTAAAGCATTAAGATATTAAAATAATGAGGTATTAATCAAGGTGACAAAGCTTTAAATTTTAAAACATTCAAGAACTAGATAAATTACATTTAAGTATTTGAAAATTTGAAAAACTAGTCCATTCTGAATCACATCTCTGTATATTACTTTGTCTGAAATTCTTTTTTTTTTAAACTATTGGAATATAATGTTATGATTTTTCTTTGCTAATGTTTAAGGTAAAGAATGTTTTATGCCAGCAAATGGTGAGACCATTTCCTTTGATACACCAGTATCTGTGCAAGTTGATACGTCACTAAATCTATTGAAGAAGCAACTCTTTGTAGAAGGAGGTAAATTACAAGTTAAATATTTTTCGTAAATGAAATTTTATAAAAGTAAAGTAAACAACTCTCCTTTATGTGCTTTATATTGGAAATACGAATTTAAATTACTATATTAATGAAAAGAGATTCATGTATAGTTTGTCTAAACTAAGAGCTTCTCCAGACAAATGTCTGGAGAAGCTCTGTAGTGGTGACTATGGTAACGAGGTATGACTATTTCAAGTAGGGGTGTGGGGTCACTGTTTTGGAGAGGGTCGGCGGGAAAAAGGAAATCTTTTACTTCGGTCTATTGTGCTAGTCCTAGAGTGAAGCTACCCTCACTAAAATGCACCAGTCTTGTTTCCATAGCACCAGACAGCCTCAGACTTTATGGTGGGAGGAGTTCTTAGCTTAGGCAGACTATAAGATGCTTTTTTTTAATACTTTTTTGTCCAAAACCTTAAATTTTTTACATTTTACCGTGCAAACATAAATAAATTAAAACTTATTTTATATTAATGAAATTCTTATGCATTAAGAATTTTAAATCTAATCATTACATTATTAAAAAAAATGAATTAATATTATTTTTTGTTTAACTTTTATTAATAAAACTCTTCCCTTCTTTAGTATATACTGAGCAAGTCAACAGAATTTCCTTAAATAATTTTGAATAGAAAAACAATAATAGAAAATTTAAATAGAAAACAATAATTTGTATGGGTTATATGAAGTTAGATTATAAAAAGTATTATTTTTTTATACTCTCCTTAGCAGTCACAACTACTGCCAAAAGAAAAAATGTGTTGCATGGAATGCTTGTGATGAATAATAACGTAAGTTTTCAATTTTATTTTACAATTTTTGGTTTACTTTTTGATTGGTCTGAAATTTTAATATCCCCTTCTTTTTTCTCTGTCGATTATAAAATTTTCTCCAATTTTTGCAAGTTGTGAATCAGAAAAGAAAGATATTTTCAGAGCGCTCTCATATCACCTCAGATATTATCAGAGCGCTCTCATATCATTTCTCATATCACCATAATTTCAAGAAAATTTAGTGTGTTATTTGATGACAATAATTACTTTCTATTATTAATGTTACATATTGATTTGAATATTCTGTGATGCAATGATCAAATTTTTTACATATATATTTTATTGAATTAATTTTTTGTTTGTCTCTTAAAAGTAATTGCGAATATAGATTTTGTGTAGTTGTTATGGTTGTTTTTAATCAAGTTTTTCGGTGGCGACATCTGGCACCTGGAAAGTCATGAAAAATCATGGAAAGGCATGAATCTCGGTATTGAGCAAAATTTGTCATGAAATGTCATGATTTTAACTATTTTTTTAATAAAAAATCATGGAAAGTCATGGATTTTGGTCACGAATTTTCGAAACGTATTTTACCCCTCCCCCTAATTTCATGGTGTTTCGAATATCTGAATTTTTAACAAAATCCCCACTTACAGTCATGTTTTATTAAAATATAAATGTTTTTATCATGTTCTTTAAAAATTATGGTGTTCTTTCAAAAAATGTTTTATCATGTTCTTTCAAAATTCTTTCAAAAAAAAATCATTTCTAGAGTGATTCCAGAATTTTTATTATTATTTATTTTTTTATTTTATCAATTTAAAACTCTAGCTGAAGCAAGCCAGTCATTGGCTGAATTTTTTAAATTCCAAAATGAAAACAGAAAAATCAGGAGTATTTCTTTCCTTTCCGATGAATAAGAAAAGTATCTTTAGATTATAATTCTGCAGAAAAAAAAGAAAAAATTTTTTTTTTGCTTTTGTATTTTTTCAGCAATTTTATTGTTTCATTTTTTTTTCTCTGTTTTTTAAATTTAAAATATATAAATGTGAAGATGCAGAGTATAACTGTTTTGGTTATACCTATCATTTCAATTAATGTTATTATAATGCTTTTTAAATTTATTGTTCTGTTATCGGGAGAAAATAATAATTTCGTTAAGTCATGAAAAGGTATTGGAATTAGTCATGGAAAGTCATGAATTTTTTTAAAATCTGAAATGTAGCAGATACCTTGAATATGACTTCAGCCACACATACAGCCCATTTTACAGGGAGAACCCATTTATCATTCATTTATCCATAGATTGTAATTTTGACCTAAACCAGACAACATTCAATCTCCAATTCAGGTATTGATTTGTTATGGGAATGTAGAGGACTTTGTGACACAGCAGATTTAATGTGCACCAGTCACCATTTACTACATGGGTAGTCTTCGGCTAACAGAGATCGAACTGGCAACCTTTTGGACAATGACCCATGCTCTACGAACCAGGTTATCCCAGGCTCGATAAATTTTGTTTTTACCAGGATCGATAAATTTTGTTAAAGCTTTTAATATGTAAAAAGGTGTACTATGATAACTTTTGATGAAATTGCCTGGTTTTACTTACTACTTTTTTTAATATATTATAATTAAAAGTACTGCTGTTTTTATGTGCTAAGTTTTTAAATTATCACTTTGCTTTTAACAAATCAAATATGTAATTAATTTAAATATAAATTTTCAATTTTGAGCTCTTTCTTTCTCAAAAAAATTTTTTTTTGTGAAATAAAGGATAAAAGATGGAAATACAGATTTATTGGAGAAAAATATAAGCAGAGTTAAAAACAAAAAGCCAAGTATTCTGCTGTTCTTAATATAAAACTTTTTGTAAATCATCATTTAGAAAATCCGTCTGATGGAGCCAGATGAAGCCATGTCTGAATTAGGTCTTGTTCCTCATCAGATTCGTTTTACCTCCACAATACTTGTAGATGATCCCTCGGGTGCTCCAGCCTCAAGACTCACCGATGTCATCTTTGCTAAAATAAAGAGGTCAGTTTTTAATATTCTTTTTTTTCTTCTTTACTTCTTACTCAGTGATATTTTTTTTCACTAGAAATATGTTTCCACATTATTTAATATGTTACCAATAAAAAAACTGTGGTGATGATTTTTTATTTAATTCGGTAGTTTTTACACAATAAATGCCGGTTATTTTACAAAATCTTCAAAACGTCTACTGATGAGAGAATGCAATTTAGAGAATTTTTATTTTAGAGAATTTTTATTTTTTACATTTTATTTTCACTGGGAATTTTTTTAAGCAGAAACTTTTTTAATAAAATTATTAAAACTAGTTGTTGAAACATTGTAAATAATGAAAAGTGGTATAATAAGAAACAAGCCATTCAATCAAACACTTGTTTTATTTTGACTACACTCTTCTTTAAACTCCATGTTTCTGCTTTAAAAAAATACTTGGATTTCTGTTTTTTTTTATCTCAAAAATACAAGAATGTATATACTTTACTCATTTTTATTTACACACTATGTTTCTGAGGTATTATTTAATAGTTGCTTGTTTAAAAAAATTTTAAGAAAAGGAAAGCAAATTACAAACTGATATCAAAAATTCTGGAACAGCCAAACATCTAAAAAAAGGTTTTTTAATATTTTACAGAAAGAAGGAAAAAAAAAAAAAAGCACGGCCATAGACATTTTGGCAGTGGGGGGGGGACAACTTTAAAATTTTAAGTGAGAGCTTTTATTTATAATGCAAATTCCCACAGATCCTCCCAGATTCAAAGCATATTTTTTAATTTTTTAGTTGACAGATTTTTTTTCTTCTAAAATCACTTAAAAATATTTAACATTCAGCTAAAAAGTCTTGTTTTATTTGATTTACATTATAATTGTTTCTGTTATTTTTTCTTTAACTACTTTTTTTCAAGTTAGTTTTGCATCACAAAGGAATTTTTATCTAGGGTTTTTATTCTAAATTTTACACAACTTAAGTAGACACCTTGTTAATAGTGTCAACTAACCCTCCAAGCATTATTCCTCTGGGTAAAATCATATATGCTGCTTTTATTTTGAATAACTTGGGGGGGGGGGAGATTTAGTTTTTTTTCCTTTGAGAAGAATCATCAGGTTATAGGTGGGGAATAACTTAAATCAAGATCTATAATAGGTTGACTTCGGGAATAGTGAGGTAAAGATGGAACCCCACTTCACCATGTCAATTTCACAAATACACTTGAAATTTGTGAAACCAATTTATGGAAGTGCAAGGATTGCTGCATTCTTCTTAGTGAACGAGATTTTCTCACACACTTTTAAAATTAGTTCTTTCACTTATGGCACTGTTATCTGCCAAAACTGAAACACTATTATCTAAATTTACAAATACTCATGTGATTATTTCAGTTAGAAGGTTTTGACATGTAGAGAAAAGCATTATTTTTCGAGTTTTTTTTTCAGGGAGCAGTACGATTTGTTAATAATATTTGCAACTAATTTTGAAATTGAAAAAAAAAATTGTATTCTGCTTTGAGAAACTCAAAACTTTTGGTCATTTTCTGAACACTCAGCATTTTAAAAAACTGTAATTTTATATTTTTTTTTTATATTTACTTCATAAAATACTTTTTTTTTCTGGGAATTTCTCAACAGCTTATTAGAGAATAAAACTGTGCAACTGGCACCAGATTGTTCCATTACTGTTGCATCTGTTCTGATCAAAGTAGATGTTTGTGAAGACGATACCAAGAGCATTTGCTTGTCTTGGGGTTATCAGGTAAAATCATATTTTATGTCTTTTTACTCTAAAATGTTTTTCCCAAGCCCCCTACTGTTTCATTTGAGATGTGAGATGCACAAATTAATCCCATTTTGTAAGCTTTTTAATCCCTTCATTGCAATTCTTATTAAAAGAAAATAAGTAATCTGATTATACTTAGTTACAAAACACTCTGTTAAGAATTAAAAAAAAAAGATTGTCAAAGCAAAGCTATCATTGCCTCATGCTTCTTGGGGATTTGTGACACTGCACCAACCTTTTTCATGATTACATGTTGGTGCCTTCTCTTAACTGTAGTAAATCATAGATATGGGATCTTTCTTCATCAGTCTGCCAAAAAACCTGTATCAAACCAGTATAAAACCTATATCAAATGTTGTTACAGGATAGGTTGAATTAGAATGACTATCTTTTATTTAAAATTGCATATTTTGTGCTTCTCTTGCAATAGTTTTATTTTTTAACCGGCATTGGACAGCATCATTTTATAATGGCTAAAATAATCAAGAAAAGTGTTCTTTGTCAGAAACTATATGGCTACGCACCCTGACATGGAAACTTTTTCAAAAAATAGCGAGACATTTGAGAAATTAAGTTTTTTTAAAAAAATTCTGTGTTGTTATTGATGATGATGAAGTCATTGGATCTCTCAGGATCTATTGGCTCTTATTTTCTCAGTGATCCTCATTGTTCCGTTGTGTGTAATTTTTGCTTACTGAAAAATATTACACTAATACATATGTAAATAAATTACTACTATCAGGGGTCTGTCCAGACATTTTGGTCCGTTTTTGTAAAATTGTGAAAAAATTACTCCTAATTTGTGAATATAAAATAAACGTTAAGTCACATTCTTTTTCAACCAGGGTCCTGTTTTTGTAAATTTGTGCAAATAGGGTCCATTATTGCAACAAGGAATTTTTAAATTGTAAAGACATACAAGATTATGTTTAACACTGTAAAATTATTATTAGAAAAATTAAATTTTAAAAAATAAACAGCAATTGCTGCTACTAAATTAGAGATGCAACATACAAATATTTGGTATTTAGCCTATACTGCTGAATGCAGAATATTTATTTTGGACGAATAAAGGAAGAGGCGTCTGCCGAAGGCAAAATTTAGTTCGTTTACATCTGTCTTCCCTCCCTTTCCTAGGAAAGGTTTATTCGATTAACAAAGCAATAATGAAGATAAACAAATTTGTCAAGGGTCCGATTTTAAAGATAAATTATTTTGTGAAGGGTCCGTTAACAGACCCAAATTTCTTCTAAACAGACCCCTGACTATATAATGTAAACTTTAACAAGAATGTTGTAAAATTATCTAATAGTAATACAAAACTACTAAATTTCTAACATACCCAATAACCAGCTTCTGCTAAAAGGAACTGAAGAGAGCTACTTGGACTAGTGACTTTGTATAATGGATAGCTTTATTTAAGTCTTCTAGAAACTTGTGGGATAACTTTAACCTCATGGTAAGATTTGCTCATCTATAGCTGAGGCTTGTCTTCTGTTCAATTTCTACAAGATTCATAACTTATAGTTTTTGATGGCATGCAAGGAATTAGTTTTAAAAGGTACACAGTTTCACGTTTGAGCTTTTACTATGGATGAAGTACTGATTATCTCTATCAGCTCTTTTTTCAAAGATTCAGTGTGGCTAAATTGTGAACTATGCTATTTATCTAATCCTACAAAAGGGTTATGTTTGTTGCCTAGAGTTAATGTTGTTAATTTGCATTTTAAAGAATAGTTTTTTTTCCCGAAGTGAATAAAACTTTTTAACATATTTAAAATGCAAATTGTGATTGTTGAAAGATTGTGTTTATTCTACAAACCTTTTCTGCTTTATTTGGCATTGAATGAAAATATTGATATTTTATTGCTTTGAAACAATGACAGTTGTTCCAATGGAAGCAAAGTCTGTTATTAAAAATGAAATATTTTAGAGTAGAAGATGATTTTTTGGGGCACTAACATAAAATAGCATAACATAAAATTTTTCAATAGCAAAGAAGAAAAAAAATTAGATGTATTATTAATTTGCTTAATTTTTGGGAAAGGCTAGAAATTTTCTTAAACCATGTACCCACTTGTATCACACATAAAAATATTTAAATGACTTTTATTTATAGGATGAAGAACTTGGGAAACACTTGCTTCCCCTTATTAAGAAATGGGCTACTGAAACCAAGTAAACCTTCATTTACTGGTCTATAATTCATGTTACAGAGTGAAGTTGACTTTGGTGAAATGAAATGTGATGAGTTTGATGTATAAAATTTGAAGTGATATTCATTTTGTTAAATATGCGCTTGTGTAAATAAATTGCTTTGTTTTATGAATTCATTGAAAATTTTTTATTGCTCTAGATTTTCCAAAACACTTAACTTGTTCTCTTTTATGGCATAAAAAACGAGCTTTTCTCTTAGTTCAATATTTTTTTTTAATGGAAGTGTAGTATTGTGTATTTTTTAATGAAAATGCTGCACAAACATGCCCTAAAGCATTTTTTGTGCTAAAGGACAATTTTTTTGCAGGCAAACTTGTATTGTAGCTTATACCTGCTAAACAGTTTTAGTTTGAAAGCCTCAGAAGAAACATCTCATGATATTATGTGTGCGATATATATATGTTCTTTTATAAAGTTTCATAACTAACACCCTCACGGTGCACACTCCAATAAAAAATAACACTATGAGTTACAATAAAAATATTTTTTTATTTATAAGATCTTTCAACTCATTTCATAAATAATAATAACCCCTTAACTGAACTTTGAATCTAAATTATTGTAATATGATGAGTTATTTTTTCGTGTTGTATTCATTTCAATGTGATAATTGTATACAATGTTCAATTCATTACCCTTTCGAAATTCCGCCTTCTTACGACAGTAACGATTTTCATTATTTTAAGTTAAAGTAACCCGAATATCTGTTCTCCATAGTATTTTTGTTTCATACTATAATTTAAAATTTTGTAATTAGATAGGGCACAATTATAAATCTCGCGAGGTTAGAGCACCTAAATCTATATACGCCACTGACCTTATATCTTGAGCAAAAAGGTATATTGATAATATTCAAATAATTTATGTGCTTAATGCAGTTTTTGAATAATGAATATAAATATGAATAGTATAGTATATAAATAGGAATAGTTTGAATATAAATATGAATAATAAATTTTATATGTAAATAAATAATAGTTTGGATAACTGAAAAAATTCTGTCCCAAAATATCTTGTTCCATTTGAAAAAGGTTAAAAAATGCATAAAATGTTTGGAAGCAAGTAGCATGTCAAAAACTTAAAATATGAAAAGGAGCGGTCCCAAGTAGAAAAAGAAGGGAATTCTTAATACTCTATTAATATGTATTTGTTGAATAGAAAACGAAATAAATACTTTTCTTCTGGAGAAAAAAAATTGACTTCAACTTCAAACTAATTATATTAAAAACAGTGGTTTTAATCAACTGAGCTATCAATGATAGAATGTATTAGAAAGTAATTTCTGTTGAAAAAAAATAATTCTGTAGGTTTTAGTGAATTGAACATAAAATTATTTATAATGCTAAAAAAAATTATTAATTATTATTGTCCTTGATTTCATTTAGTATTGCAGTAAAATTCATATATAATTTTAAAGAGTTAACTACTATTTCTTAGTTGTCTTTTTTCAAACTCTATGAGTTATTTACTTAAGTTTATTATTTTGACAAGATAAGCATATTTAAATTTTTTTTATTGCCTTTGTGCATGCTTTGTGCACAAGAATTCTTCCTGTGGTAATATAGTAAATTTGAAGAATTGAAATTCAGAAACATTGGGTCATGTTTATCAGACATATATTTGAACAACATATAAGCTTATATCAAATTAACAATAGTTTATTAACTTTCCAACAAAGAGTGCAACAATATTGATTTAATTGGTTTAGAAAAAGCAATGATGTGGTTTTAAGTGGCATAGGAAACTGATCCTTGTAACTAAGATCTATTAGTATTCAAATATATTGTACAGAAAGTTATAAAAACCCTTTGTGAGGCCTTTTCAATCTAATCAACAACATGCAGACATCTCCTTTTAGGGGGCAGGGCCTGACCTTTTTTATAAATAGTATTATTTTTCTGTTTATATATTTTAGATATACCATTTCGGTTATCCACATTTACCTTCTAAATTCAAAATATGTTAAAACCGTAACATCCATATATCATTCCAAATTACCTTTTCTGAATGTGTTTCTGTGCATGTAAGTTGTTGGAAAAAATGTACTTAAAAAGTAAATAAATCTCAATATTTAATGAGATTAAATGCAGTTTTCCTCTACTTGTAATCCTTTGGTTTAGTGTTAGAAGGAGATTACAAATGTTCGAAAATTGAAAATTATTTTAAAAAATGGAAATTCAAATTTTTTTTAAATTTTATAAAAGACTTGTCTGCAAAAGTGTATTGATTTTTTTTTCTTACTAAAGTATTGTAACTTTTTTTTCACCATAAACTTTCTTTATTGGCACAGTCACTCTAAGCACGTTTTAAAAAGCATGTATCATAAAAAATTAATCTTTACAGATAAAATAAAATTAGTTTTTAAAAAAAAAAGGATAAACTAAATCTGCATTTAAATTAATCTATGGAGTATTTTTCTTGACTTTTGGAGTCTGCATCTAATTAATTTAAAAATTGTCACTTTTAATAGCCACATTTTTAATCTTATACTTGAAAGTCCTTTTAATGCTGTTGACTGAAAGTAAGCCTTAATTAATTTTGCTTATATAACTTTGTAATTAAAATCTGATTAGTCCGGAATCAAGATGTGAATTTTTTTAAAAACTCTAAATCAGGTCTCTAAACCAGATTCTAATTAATTCAGATTTAAAATAAGAACTTTAAAAAAAAAATTGAATTAAATATTTTTTTTAAAAATAATTTTTGCTATAGAAATTGTTTGTTAAAAGTATATCCCCCCCCCCAAAAAAAAGAAGTTCGAAATATGATTAGGGATATACTTTATCATCACATTTTCAACATTTTTTGGAAGATAGAATAATGCTCTTCACTACCTGTTGCTACTGTATAAACAATAGTGGAAAGATTCTTAATAAAATATTGTTTTCGTTAATAAAAATTAATATTTGTATCATTAGTTACAAAACAAACTAAAGATAATATAAAATAGAATAAATTTAACTTTTCCTTAAACTCTTTTGAGAATTAAAGAGAAAATTATAGTAAAATTTTGTTTGAAATTTTTCACAATTTTAATGCAATATGTGTTTATAAAATGAAATGTAAAATAACAGAATAATAACATATTTTCAAAAACTGAAATTTCATATATGAGGAAATATATGTAATATAATTAATATTCTTAATATGTTCTAAAAATTTCTAAATTATAGATAGTAACTTTCATTTTGTTACATTTATGTTTATAACATTTTTAATTAGTGTCTGAGAAAAGGAAATTCACTGAATATAACTTAATGTATTAAACAAATTATTAAATTATTAAAACTAAAAATTTATGTTAATCTTTAAAAAAGAATGGTAAATTAAAATAAACCTTACGCAATCGAAAATGAAATAAGCTGAAGATATTTTAATTTAAATGTATTCATTTTAAATTTATTACATACAAGACGGAAGATATTTTAATTTAAATGTATTCATTTTAAATTTATTACATACAAGACGGAAGGAAATTGAAAAACATAAACAGATGAACAAAAAATTAATGTTAAATGTTCTTGCAATAGGCTAATTAACTTTTGCTTATTGCAGGAATAACCTGTATCAAATGTTCGGAATTAAATATTGAACCCTTTTTGCTGTCTTATTAAATTCATACAATGTTGTCATACTGGTCGGTTTTAATATATATGCATGTTAATAATTTAAAAAAACATTGTTTCTTTGGAAGGAAAAATGCTGTTTTACTTTAACATGATTTGCAAAATATTTTGAATTTCATATATCTTCAAAGCCTACAGGCATAAGCCACCAAATTGTTTAGTATTATAAAATCAGTATCATTCTTTGTTTTGGTGACTAAGAGCAGACATACGACTGGAACCGCTGAAAGTTTTCGTGGTTGATATTGTCTGACAAGCAAGAGATGAGCCCTAATACTAGACTTGTTTGTGGTGGGGGTTCCGACAGCGACAGACTAGTATATTTGTTCTCAAGGGATAGAGCGTTCCCCTTCCAATGAGGTGAACCAGGTTCGAATCTCAGCGATGGCTGGTTGTTACGAATTCCACACCTTTCTCACAACAACTACAGTGCTGACGCAAAATATCCTCACTGTTAGACGGATCATGGGTCTGAGTCCCCTTGCCGTTAAACTAACAGTGGGAGGTTTTCGTGGTTTTCCTCTCCATGTAACGCAAATGTGGGTTAGTTCCATCACAAAGCTTCTCCTCTGAAGGCTAATTTCTCCCAATGCTTAATCCAGGAGTTCCTTTGTCTTCTGGATTGGGTTCAAAGTTGCAAGGCTACGGTGTTGAACATTGGCAGTCGTAAACCCAAAATTGGTTTGGCTGTTCAACAATGGTTATAAAACAAAATAAAATGCTAAAGCTCCAGAGCCGTTCAACTCTGTAGCCTTGTAATTTTGAACCCAATCCAGGAAACAAGGGAACTCCTGCACCAAGTATTGGGAGAATTTGCCTTTGTGGAGGACTTTTTGATGGAGCTAACCTGCATTTGCGTTACATGGAGAGGAAAACCACATAAACTTCCCACAGTTAGCCTGATGGCAAGGGATTCTAACCCATGATATTTTACGTAAGATATTTTACTTCACTGCGGTCGATGCAAGCCGGATGCAGAATTCGTATCGACCAGCCACCGCTGGGATTCGAACCCGGTTCCCCTCATTGGAAGGCGAACGCTCTATCCCCTGAGCCATCACAGCTCTTCGAAAAATTATTGCTTAAAATAACAGTATTTTTTGTTTACGTAACATTAAAATTTTAAACTATAAATATGTCAAAACTATAAATAGTTGAAATATGCGCACACTTGAACTGTTTTTTTTTTAAAAATTAATCTACAGTTTTAATAAGAAATTTTTTATGCTATTTCACTTTTTTAAATTGGATAGAAAATAGCATGAAGAAACTTAAATTGATTTTAAATGCCATTTGTTTCATCGTCTAAATTTATAAAATTTCTAACAATACAATTGATAATCACAATTGAAATTGGAACAAAAGTACATTTTTAAGTATAATCTATACTTCGCATAAAACTATTAATGCTTTAAATATGTATTTACTTTAATGAGAATTGAATCTTTATGTAGCAAAATGCATGGTTTTCTTTACGCTGATTAAA